CTTTTTTTTTTACAAAGTATAACGAAAAATCTTATTCTGTAGCCTAACAAATATTTGTGAAAATTCACTGCTAAAGACCTTGCTCCCCAATGCATCTTTGATCGCAATATACCTTGCGCATATTTGAGAAAATTCAGGTTTAATTCAATTTATTTTTTAAAAAACAAATATGAAATATATAATTTTCTATTATATTTATTATAAAAATTTACCAGTTCTTTAGTAATTAATTATAACAAATATTAGTTAATGACAAGTTGCTTCAGCAGCAACCCGTTTGGATGAGATCCTGACTCAAGCTCAGCTTTAACATACATGGGGGAAAAAAAATCCTTTGGATGCATGTATTGTTCAATATCCTTCAAGGTGTTGTAGGAATGTTTTCTGTATTAGACAAAATTCATTGAAAAATTGGGGATAAATCCCGCATCGAGAATTTAATTGGTGAATAGTACATAAGGACTTTGTGCAATTTAACTTTTCAGGGTACAACTTAACTTCCCTTATGTACAATTGATATTTCTTTGTGTGCAATCATCTTCTCTTCTATCACATCTTCTTTTTGTGCAACTGAACTTCTTTTGTGTTCAAGTTATCATCTTTATATACAAATTAGTTTCTCGTATATGAAAAATATTTCGTGCAAACCATTTTTCCTATATGCAACTCAGCTTCCTTATGTGCAACTTATATATCTTCTTTTGTGCACCCTATCATCCTAGGTACCATTTGCTAGTTTTCCCAAATTCATATACATCTCTATATATTTGCCGTTTTGCATTGCAAATGACTTATTCAGGATTACGATTCGTTTGGTGTAACCGACATCGTGTTTTTTCCTCTCCATATACATGCGCAAATACAAACATATCAAGAGATATTCATCCATCTTCTCTACTTCAATATATCAATTCAGTTAATGGACCAGAGCATAGATAAAGAGAGATCTTTTTCGACTTGAAGTTGTTTGTTACTAATAGATTTCGGATCTGCATTAAGATATTGGATATAGTTATTTATGTAATTAAATATAAAATAAATTAAATAAGAGATTTAATTTGTATTATCCAAAAAATTTATTTGACAACACTTGAAAGTTTTGCAATTATACATGATCAGGTATTTGACAACACTTATATCAAGTTCTGCAATTATACATGATTAGTGAAACATCCTACCTTTAACTTCTCAGAATATGCGTTTGAAAGCGTTATGGTTCAAGCGATTCACAAAACAAGCCCGTAGATTGAAAATTTGCAATTGGTTCTCGAGTTACTGTTTACTAGTAAAATTCCAGATTTTCAATCTAACTTTGAGCAATCATAACTCTTAGCACATATATCCGTTTTAAGTGATCTACCACTTGTTTTAAAGCTTGGGATGTGTACTTTAATCATGTCAAATTTTATGAGTAGAATCAATCATTTAGCTCACTTCCACTTTGTTGCTAATTCGTGGCTCATTTAGGGACCTTCTATTCCCTTAGCTCAATTCAACATTTTCCAATAAATTCTTTCCTTATAATTTGCCATGCTATTTTTTGCACATAACATTACCATTCATCTTCTCACTTCCTAAACTATTCCCATACATCATCATAGTCAATTGCACATGCCATCATCATCATTTAACATCACATAACATCAGTGGCATGTTTATATCATACATTATCATACAAAGTGTATAATGTGATACAATAACTTTCTTCAATTGTTTTCCTCTTTCCTTGCTTCCACTTCATGCATCCCTTGCTTGACATTATCACCTATTATGGTTGGTTAAGGGAGGGTGAGATTTGGGAGAATCTCAGTAGTAAACAATAACCACCCAAACATACATGGCAAGCTTGGCATTCATAACATGCTTACAACTTAACATTTCTATAACATAGTGACATGTTTGGAAATCATCATGCATTAACCATAAAACACATAGGTCTATGACACATTTCAAATATATTCACAATCACAATGCATGAGTTCATAAAACCATATAAACACAGAACATGTCATACATGCAAGCAAATACCAAGCATATAAGAGTAGGGTAAAGTTTGCTACCTTGTGTTTTTAAGCTTTCTTCTTACTCCTTTTTGCTTCCCAACCATCTAGCTTTCGATCAACCACATCCAAACCCCCTCTTGGATGTCTCAAGATCCTAATCACAGCCATAAGGGTCACATTACTGATTAGGACCAAGAATTACACAATATGGAAGACTCATGTCCTTAAACTTAATCCATTTTCCCTTAATTTATAATGTAGTGTTCTAGCTTTGTAAAATTTATTCCCTTAGGCCAATCCTACACAATTTTGCCCAAGGAATCCAAATATAAGCTTAGATTCATCAAACTCTAATTCCTTCCCCTGGTTCTAAGCCAAAAATGAAATCTACCACTTAATTTTCAGTTTTGATTCTAATACTTCCAACTTCATTCTTTCTGGCCAAAACATCTCCTCAAGTTACATGATTATGAAATTTAACCAATTTCAACATAAAACTACTTGATTCGTGTTCCTTTCAAGCCATTGAACATTAATTTAACATCAATTTCATCTCCTCTCACACTTAACAATTTCATGCAACACCTCCCCCAAGGGTTTCAAGCTCCCAAAAATCATTAAAATCTATAACCAAGCTCAAGAACAATAAGATTAGTGAAAACTACATCAAAAACCATGAACATACCTTGTTTCAGAGCTTGACCTTGCATGAGACTACTTAGCCTTTCTTTCTCCCTCTTCTTTCTCTCTCTAGAAACCATTTTTTCATAGCTTTCCCAAGGCTTCCATGAGCTTGGACGAAATGAGAGGGAGCGGAGGGGGTATTTATAGAAAATAAGACTAAATCTAGGCCATTGATCTTGAAAATATGTGGCTTGATCTGGACCGTCCATTTTTTCTTTTAATCTTGTGGTGACAAGTGTCATATGACATCATGCTTGCCTCATTATAATGACATCATGCTTACATCATCAATCCACATGCTTTTAATCTAACCATACACGTGTCTTGCATCCAGCTGTACATGTAATACCTTCTTTTCTCATCACACCGTACACTTGTCTCTTCCATTTTCCTTCATCATTAAGGCATTAAAATAGGGAGGAAATTAATATAAAATATGTGCAAAATACAACCCTTAGACATTTCTTCATCTATCTTGTCATTCTGCACCGTATATGGTACTTTTTCGGGTCCTGACCTTCCTGGGACCACTGGGACATGTTATGGCACTATTTTCTCACCTCAAATAAATCCACATGGTATTATATAACATGCCCAAAGATAGAGTAATGCTCTTCCCTTGTTCTTCCATTAAAATAATTAAAATAATTAATAATATCTATTTTGGAGTGAACTTAATCGAATTCTTTCTACTGATCCACAAGACCACAACTCTGAGAATCTATCTCTGGGTACCAATACTATTCATTCATCACAAGGAATTCCTCTAATTTTTCTTAAGTCAAAAGTCAACCTCTAGACATTTGACTTTGACTTTTCCTGAATAGTATGTAAATAGGCTTTAAATTCCATTAAAGCCAACATTTTTGCTTTCTGGAGACAGAATTATTTTTAAAACTTATGATAATTCCTCAAGTATTTTCTCCCATTTTCTTCCAATTATCTAATGCCTCTGTGTACTTTAAATAATTCATCTTTAATAATATTCAAAATCAATCAAAACCTTGGGAATTCCACAATTTCCTTTTAGGGGTATTTTCGTCATTTTTAGCCTCATACAGGCCTCTAAACCTTATTCCTATTTTTCCAGAATTTTTTGAAGTGTTCAAACCCTAACCTACCATTTCCCATTTTTTGGGATTTTTCTAGGATTTTCAAGCATAATTTTCATTTTTATCCTTACCAGCCTGAAACTTTGTGAAATTACAATTTTACCCCTGGTTTGGCTTAACCTCAAAATTCACCTCATTGAGGCCTCCAACATAACCTTTGGCCTGTATTTATCCCTATTTCTCATTCCTAGACCCTGAGACTTTTTCCAAGTCTCTAACTTCTTCTTTTCTCAGTCTTACAAAACTTTCCTTTTGCGATTCAGTCCCTAAGAATCCCTCTTTCCTTCCAGGGAATCTCTGGAACCTCTGTCGAAAGGGGTGTGGTAATCTATTTTTCAGGCTAATTCTGGTACTTCTAGGCCTAAAATTTGGGATGTGATAATCAAGTATTTTATTTTTAAAATATTAAAATTTAATAGCATTTAACTATAAATCCACATAAAACAAAAGGAGGACATATGACTATATATGATTGGAGAACTTGACATAATATATAAGCAACTTAACCTCAGTTTTTTTTTCCTAATCTAAGTATCAAGATTATATGATTTAATTTAATCAATTTGAATTCAAATCGTATTTATGAATTACATTAGGATTTAATTCGTTATAAATATATAATATATATTCAATACCTTTAAATTCATATTATCTCTCATTAACTAAGATAATGGGGATATAATGATAAGTACACTAACGAATGGGGGGCTGTGTGTGTGTTAAAATGATAAGATATTTTGTATTTTCAAAATATCCCTTACCAAAAGCTCCCTCCGTCATTTATAAATCATCCCATAATCGCAGAGCTTTTCATTTACCTCTCTTTTTTTCTTGTGTGCGGTGCATCTATCGGGAGCAGTGATAACCCAAACCCAAATCCAGTAAGTTACTCTCCCTTGCTCCTTTAATTTTCTAACATTTATTAATCTAGAGAATTAAATAAGAAATTTTCGTTCTAATCAAAAGAAAATTTTCATGCCAAGTTAAATTTGAAAATAGATTTAAATAGAAAAATTAATATACAATAATTTTCTTCCAGTATAATTTTTATATACTAACTTAAAAAATAGAACATATTCCTCCTTCAGATAATTATCATGTCCCAATAATAAGTAAGAAACTAATTATCTTAATAGTCGTCGTTTGATTGCGCAGCTGTGAGACTCCTTTATACAAGTGGATCATGATGGAGCAGATAGTAATGGACAAAGACACACTACCATATCTTCCCCCAGAAGTCATAATAAGTATTCTTCTCCGACTTCCAGTAAAATCCCTAATGCGATTTCGATGTGTGTGCAAAGAGTGGAAGAATCTCTTCAAAACCCCATCTTTTGTTGCTGAACACCTCCATCACTCCACTAAGCAGAATTCTCTTCTTTTTTATTGCACTATCTATGGTTGTACTTTAAGTTTGCTCAATCATGAGAAGCAAGTTCTTGAACTTCAGAAACCTCCTTTCATTGATACCTCAATGGGTTCCTACAGGATTGTCTATTCCGACAATGGCTTGCTCTGTGTCGAACTCATTAAATGTAAAACCCTCTTCTTGTGGAATCCAGCCACTAGAGAGGTCCATCAGGTTCCCAAAGCTCTTAAACCTTTTGAACACGAGTATTATTGTTGTGTAGGATTTGGGTTCAGCCCAATTGTTAATGATTATAAGATAGTGAGAGTTTTTGTTTCTTGGTATGATCAAATGGTTCATAGAGCTGAAGTGTATTCATTAAGCACAGGATCATGGAAAGAAGTTGATGTTGGGAACTTAGAGGACGTGATTGATATCAGTTGTAGTTGTATCACTTGTAATGGATCAATCTTTTGGTTTGGTTTAAAGGAAGATGTGGAGAGTGAAAGTGATGGTTATTTGATAGTCTCATTCGACATAGCAATGGAAGAGTTTACATTGATACAGATGCCTACTTTATCCCCTAAATCATCACATTGCAATAGTCTTACTTTGTATGATAACAAACTTGCTATGCTTTCCACAAGATTAAATGGAAACTCTTGTTCAACCGATTTGTGGGTGATGAAGGGATTGAGTTGGACTAAGACATATGATATCAAACCCTATCCCTCCTCTTTACATCCAGTGGCTATTTGGAGGAATCATATTATTTGCACAACTCATGACAGGTTTAAAAGTTCTTCGGACATTGAAGGTGGATTAATGGATAATCCTAACATAGAAACCATGGTGTGCAATCTGACGAACATGGAATTCAAGATATGTGCTATCAAAAGATGTTGCTTTGGCCATGATTTGATTTCAAATTATGTGGAGAGTCTCGTAACAGTTAGCAACATCCACGTGGAAAAGCCGCCGCTTGATCGTAAATTTGGATTATTACATTACATATTTAATTTATTTAAGTACTTTCAATGGAGATGAATCTATATATAGTAATTTAGATTATCTGTCCATTAGAGATGTTATCTAGAATAATGAATGCATATTATCAACACTATATAAGTGTCTCTTGTTATATATACGACCTATTTAAAAATTGAAGTTGTTTAGTTTTCTTTTAAAGGTGGATATGTCATTAAATTTTTGGTGTGTGTATTATTTGGGACTAGCGGATTAGAACATGCGACAAAGGTTATTTGACCTTGTATGATTTTTTTTTCCAGGACTATTTTGGGTTTATGTTAACTTACTAATTACTAATAATGGTTCGTAAATTTACACTAGTGTGGCGTTTGAATAGACGGATTTATACTTGAATTTTGATTTTACATTTCTTAAATTTTAATTAATTTATTTAAAGTGTTTGTTTGGGTAGTATTACTTCCAGTCCTAATTATAAGACTTCATTTATAAATTATAAATGAGGTCTTATAATTAGTACCAGAGGTAATATATAAAAATCCACGTTAAGATATTAGGCAAAATTGCTCATTTATCCCTTAACATCACACAAAGTTTATTTTAATATCTTCATTTTATAAAAATCCACGTTAAGATATTAGGCAAAATTGCTACTTGGACTAAGAAATACACTAGCAACCCATGTCCATTCTTTTTACTTACAAACACTGTCTTTATTTGGGGGAATCAAATGTTTTGCGATGCTTTTGTAGCCCCAAGACACAAGAGTAAATTTAAGCAAGGGGCGAAAAATGATGGGCCAATGACAGCTCTATTTATAGTTGATCTTATTACCAATGAAATTAAGATGCTTCCTGATAAGAGATGGTTCCGAGTTGATGTCATTTTCTATTATAATGAGAGCCTTGCACCAGTGGACAACAGTCACTTTCAAGAGCCTTGATCCAAAATCTTTAGAAGAACCATTTAGACCATTTTATACTTAAAATCCCTGTGGTCCTCTAGAGATTATGAAGTCTAGAATTAAGAATGGCTAGTTGTTTGTTGCTTTATTTGAGCGATATACAATATCTTATTGTTTAGTTTTCTTTTTATGATTGATATATATTGTTCGATTGCTTCTGAATGGATTAATTGTTTAATATTTGTTGTCTAGGTAATTTACTCGTAATTTTATATCATTTTAGCGGAAATAAAAGTATAAGGAAAGCAAATTTAATATTCTTGCATGTTCATTTAATTTTTCAAGGACGTGTGTGCTCTTTTGGTCAATATAATGGTGAAAGAATAGTGCTGAACTGCCGGTTAAGATTTTTCTGGATTTTTTTTTAATCAATAACATGTTTGCCTTCCCAACAAAATGAAGCTTTAATTTACTGATCGCATTTGGATTTTGCAGATAGTCTTGTCCAGATTTTTTTTTTGTCATGAAAGTCTTGTCCAGATAAGTACCATCCAAATTAAAGAGGCTTGATCTGTTTTCTTAATTATTATATTTGTTATTTACTTCTAATTCTGAAAAGCGTACTTCTTGGGAGAGTTTTAATCTTAACACTCTTAGCTCAACAGAGATTAGTCTCAAATCCAAAATAATATGATAATACTCTGACTTATACCCAAAAAAATATTTCTTATTTGCTTATTTAGATTTTTTATGAAAATATATATCCTTATATATATATAATATTGCATCATTCGTTTGTTAGAGATGTTAAATGCAAATTAGTACCAAATGTTTCTTGCTTTTATACTTATAATTGTAGGTTAAGAGTGATCCATAATTTAGTTGTTGGAGTGGATTACTTGGGATTTTTTCCATTCAATATATCAATTGTTTTAATTTTATTGAAGATCATTGCCATCCTAAATGCTAATTGATACATTGAAGATTTATCTTATTTTTGTGTGCATTATTAGATCATTTGTGTAATTCAGCCTAAAAATTGATTGCATTTTAAATTCATTCAACTAGACTAAAAAATGTTATTATTTGTTGAATTAGGTTTCATATGTCGTCCTATTTTTTCAAGATCAATTTTATTTTGAATAGATTTTAGCCAGTAAATTATATTTATTAATAAATTAATTTTAATTCAATTTATAGCTCATGAATCATAGAGACCGATCAATCATTTTCACTCAATTCACAGATCAATACTTCCTCTTTTTACAAGAGACAATTAACCAAATTATATTGTTTAAAATATTGATCAAATTAGTTAAAGAGAATACATATGTAAAAAAATGTAGTATGAGTAGTTAAATGAGGGTAATATGGCAAATAAATAAATAAAGTTTGAGACAACCTTCACGTTGTTTCCTTAAGTGCCGTGCATGACATCTCTGATTGGGAGAATTCAGGTTTAATTCCATTTATTTTTCAAAAAAGATATGAAACATAGAATTTTTGATTATGTTTATTATAAAAAATTGTCATTTCTTTAGTAATTCATTATAACAAATATTAGTTAATGCCAAGTTGCCCAATGGCAATGTCACCCAGTATATTTGGAAACTTATTAGATGGCGTAAATCCCTAGACTAGAAATCTTATTACTTAATCCCTCAACTATTACTTAGTACAACTCAGTTTCTAAATATTTAAGGGATAATTAATCCGTAAGTCTTTGTAGTTTCAATCATTTTTGAATCAGGTCCCCATAGTTTTTTTCTTTTTTATCATGTCATTATATTTTCACCTATTTTTAATTAGGTCCTTGCATTTATTTTTCTTTTTATCAAGTCCTTATAAGTTCACCTTATTTCTAATTAAGTCTTTGAATTTTTTATTCTTTATTTTATAAATTCTAATAGTACTATTCTATAAACATAAAATAGTGTATATTATTTAATATTAGCTTATAAACAGTAATATTCTAAAAATAATGAATTATTATAATAAATTTATTTTTTCAGAAAAAAATTTAATTGTTCTAATTTTTTTCTTGAATTAATTATATTACTTATTTTTTATTATATAATTATTAATTTGATTTGATTATTAATATTTTGTATTTCAGTATTAATCTATCTAATTAAGTTTATATTTAATTAATAAATAAAAATTAAAACTACAAAGACCTGATTAAAAATCTAGCGAAATTATAAGGACTTAATAAAAAAAATAAATGTAAGGACTTAATTAAAAATCAGTGAAAGTATAAGGACCTAATAAAAAGAAAAAAAACTATAAGGATCTAATTCAAAATTGGTTGAAACTACAAGAACTTACGAATTAATTATTCCAATATTTAATTTAGTTAAAACTAGGGGTGGAAGTAGGCTAGGCCCCCTATCAGAGGCCTATGGTCTAGCCTACTTTAAACCTAACTTAGCCTATTTAGTAAATAAGCCAGGCTCAAGTTTAGGCCTATTGCAAGGCCTATTTAGGTAAACATGCCAGACTTATTTTTATAAGGCCTAGTCTACAAGCCTAAAGACTTGGCCTATTTAGTTTTTTTTTTAATTTACACTATTATATAATATAATCTAGATTAATTTTATAAATTATTTATAAAATTACTAACTTAGCCATAATCCTAAGTTTCACATCCCATCATTCACATATAAACACAACCCTTTCATCAATCAATCTTTCACCTCTACATTTCTTTTCTTTGATCGCTCAAGACGACTACGTTAGCTCACTCCCTCTCTCCTGATTTACGTTGTTCAATAAAGCATAATAATTGTAGTAAGTTTGTTTTAGTGATGCCCAAATGAAATATTATAATATTGCTAGAAAAGTAAGAGGTAAAATCTAGTTTTACATGCCACTTGTTGGGTTTGGTGGATTTTAGAAAATATATCTCCTAAGTCAACATATAATTGGTTTTTCTTATTCATATTTACTGGAACAATTGTTGTCACTAAGCATTCTTTTTCCTTACTAGACTCTTATTGTCTTATATTGTATGTGAGAATAGATCTTAAACTTTTAAGACATAACGTAGGTTTTAAAAAAGGTTTAAAGAGTTATACATGAATTTAGAGGCATGTGCTTTTAAGCCTATTTAGATACCTAAATTTTAAGTGGGATTTTAAAAAGACTTTCAGGCCTTTTGAAGGCTCAAGCTCGAGCTTAAAAAAAAGCCTACATGCAGACTCAGGCCTATTTAGCTAAAACCTAGCCTACCCTAGCCTATTTCCACCCCTAGTTAAAACTCAGTTCCTATCTTTTTCTCACTTAATAAATTGATCTTACATGGCAATAGATATTGTTGACTGTGTTAAAAAATGCTGATGTTTTTTTCAAGTAAGCCCCGCGTGGCTCCGAAAACTGAAAGCAAATCAGCAATATTCTTGAACTCTCCACCTGACCGTGAATCAACGAAACAAGTAACTGAAAAACTGAGTCAAAACTTAAAGGATCAAGAGACTAATTTTCCTAAGTTAAAAGTTTAAGAATGGAATTATATCAATTCATATATAAAATAAAGCTCGTGAGATTTTAGTCTAAAAAAACGGTTGTGAGATTTTTGTTCAACAATTGAAAACAGTATATTCTCCTCCAAATAATCATATCCTATCCTAATAATCAGGACGAATTGTTTTTGAGATGGAATTTTCGTATTTGAATTTGAGATGAAATCTTTGTTCAGTAATGACTTTGTTTCAATTCTTAAATCCACAGTGACTCGCTAATAATATAAACCAATCAATCATTTTGAATAATTTGGCCAATCAATATCATTAAATTCAAATTATTTATTAATTTACAGTTATTGATTAGTAGTCATTTTGATATAACCACGTTGAGTAATCAAATTACAGATAAAATTCTCCGCGATGAATTTTCTATTGAACCTAATAAAAAAGATTACAAGCCTGATAAATATAAATGACGTTAGAGTTTTTTAACTTTTTATTTTTTAAGAAAATTAAATGGAAAAAAAATAAAGGTCGTGAGATTTTTGTATCAAAAAAAGTTGTGAGATTTCTTTTTCAGCAAATGAAAACAGTATATCCCTTTCAAATAATCATATCCTATCCCAATAATTAGGACGAATTATTTCTGGGACGGGATTTTTCGTATTTCAATTTGGGATGAAATATTTATTCAGTTATGATTTTTTTTTTAAATTCTTCAATCAGTCGGTGATTTTTTTCATATTTAATCATATGTCGATATTTCTTTTCAAAAAAGTAGCATATGTATTAATTTTGTTATTGTAATTTATTATCAATAATATTTTTAAATAATTTATAACATGGGTGAAAAATAATTAAGATTAGATTAGATATTAACAAAATAAAAATGTTAAAAATATTTAAAAAGATAAAACATAGTTGATAAGTTAATATTCTCATATGTTTCGCGCGTGCACACACAAAAGCTTATACTCCTGCAATCATTAATATAATATCTATTTAACTAATTTGATTAGATTAAAGAAGTTAGGTAAGTTAGCTAATTATAAAAAATATAACATATTTTTTCTAAAATCATAATCATCCTTTTTAATATCCTTTCTCTCTCACTTACTTGATTGGGGGAGTATCCATAGTGATAATTTAAAAAATAATAATAAATATGAGAAATATGTGGGTTCAGTCCAATTGTTAATGACTACAAGATAGTGAGGATTTTTTCTTTGCGCCGTTTGGTTCGGCGAGTTGAGGTGTATTCATTAAGCAAAAGGTCATGGAAAGAAGTTGATGTTGGGAACTAAGCAGGTCTGTCTGATATCTTTCGTGGCCGTTTCACTTATAATGGAAATGTCTCTTGGTTTGGTTTAAAGGAAGGTGTGAAGGGTCAAAGCGATCTTTATTTGATAGTTTCATTTGACACAACAAAGGAAGTTTTTATATTGATAGATATGTCTACTTCAGCCGTTAAATCATCATATTGCAATAGGCTTACTGCGTATGAGAACAAACTTGCTATTCTTTCTAACGGGAGGAGATATTCTCATAATCCTTCTTTCTCCTTTTCTTCTCAAA